TATCGTTAACTTGGTGGGTTAAATATGTTTATTTGACCAAAAAAAGTCCACATGACACTCCATTTGACATCCACATGCTACTGTGATGGTTTATGTGACTTGTTAAATAAGGCAATTAGGGAAAAAATCCTATAAAGACACACTTTGAGGGAAAAAGTGACCTTTAACCTTATTATTTATGCTAACATGGATGCCATGGGGATGCATATGGTTAAATAAAATGATTTAGCAGTCAAAATAAATGGCATGGGTAAAATTGGTTAGTTTTTAAACATTTAGGTGGAAGGAATGACTAATAATTGAGTTCAAGATACCAAGTGTCCCTGGACTAATACTTTGAGGGCAAAAGTGACATTTAACCTATTGTTTATGCCAATGTGGATGCCACGAGAATGTGAAAATGTGCCTAAGAAGGAGGTGAATTGGGTTAATAAAAATTTTGGCAAGTAAAAACTTAATTTATAGAGTTAAGAGATAGGAATTTATTATCGTAAGTTTTGAAGTAAAGAGAAGTGAAATTTAACATGAGGAGTTATCCTGGTTCGGCAAATGCACTTGCCTATGTCCAGTCTCTAAGCTTATCTCTTGAGATTTTTTCACCATAACATTCAAGATTGATTCGGGCTCTTAGATGCCTTAGTACAAATTAGACAATACAAGTTTGGAACATTCCCCTTTACAAAGTTAACGTGTCATCTAGTTGAGTTCCTTGAACTCAAAATAATTTGCTCCAAGTGCATGAAACAAGGATGATCACTAAGTGATCAAATTCTCAATAAACTTTCAAAAGAGTAGATATGCAATTAATAAAGCTCACTAGAAATGAATGTAATAGCAAAAGAGTAGTTGAAAAATTTAATGAAATAGCTTGAGTAGTAACTTCTTTGCCCAAGTATCCATTAGACTCATAAATATTTCTATTGAGACTTATTTCTCGTTAATATAAACTTTGGACACTTTACCCAATACTTATCTTTAATGATGATGCTAAGTTTCCTAGAAAATATGGAAGAACGAAGTTTTTCTAGTTGGGTAGCACGTTTTGGACTTAAAGCAAGTTTACATTAAATGTTCTAACATTATTATTGTTGAAACAAAACTTTGAAGTATTTTGAAGAAAACATCGAAACATTTAAACTTTAGATATTTTGGATTCAAAGATAAATTATGTTTAAGACTTTATCCAAAGATTAGAAGTTGTTAATCTGAATGTAAATATGTTTAGAAATACTAGGGAGTAATTTCATATTAATTGGGGAAGGTTTAAGGAAAACACGAGAAACAGATGCAGTTGGCTCAGAAGAAACATCGAAGTATTTGATGAAGAACTTTGAAGTATTGGAGCATAAATTTGGAACCAATTGAAGAAACTTCGAATGAAAAGCTTGAGTTCCAAAGGGAAAGAAAAATTTTTTTTAAAGGAAATGAACCAGCTAAAACTTCAAAATATAGGAAGTTAGAATATCACAGCTCTGAAACATCAAAGAATTGAGAAAAAAAACTTCGAAGTAAATGGAGTTAGTAGTAAAGGAACGCAAACTTTAAAGTTTTTAAGCCAAACCATCGAGGTATTTAAGGATAGGAATCAAGAGCACAAAACTTCAATGAATTTAAGGAAAAAGATCAAAGTAATCGAGGTTCAGCTCAAGGACACACAAATCTTCAAAGTATTCAAGGCAAAATAAAAGCATTTGATATTCAGAGATAATCGAACAAACTTAAAATTGTATGAGCCAAACTTCAAAACATTGAATAAGATAGCACAAAGAGACAAGTCTTCGATCAATTTAAGCAGAAACATGAAAGTGTTTTGACATAAGACAGAAGTAGAAGCTTTGAAGATTAGAAGTGTAAACTTTGAAGTTTTGAAAGGGAAACTTCTAAGTATTTGAACCAGAACTTCGAAGTTTAGATGAAGTTTGACAAAAAGAAGAAATAAAAGTTTATCTCTCACCATATATTTGAGTAACTTAATCTTGTTAAACACAAAATCTTCTTTAAATTTTTCATAATTAAAATAATGAAAATATATTTTTATAAAATGCTTATGGTCAAATAAAATCACTTAACAATAAAAGTTAATAGCGAAACAAAACATGTCCATTTTTAAATGTTTAAGGGGGAAATGACTAAATTAAAAATCAAATTTAGGGCACCAGGTGTACCCAAGCTAATACTTTTGAGAGTAAAAGTTACTTTTAACCTTATAATATAATATAGGGTTAAAGACTATTTTTTCCTTGAATTCTTTTTGAGGAGTATTGGGCACTCTATATTAATAAGTGTGGCAATGTTTTTCCTAAACCATTTTTTTTGCACTGTTAAAGAATAGTTAGTTTCACCGATATCTCCCTACAGAGATTTTGTATGAGTCCTGTTGATCATCTGACCTGGCTTATTATTGTAGGGTTAAATTGCTAATTTGCCCTTGAAATTTTTTCTTAGGAGTGTTGAACATCCTAAAGTCTTATTAAAATAAAATCTAATAAATAGTTATTTTAATAAAATCTTGTAAAGTTATTGAATATTTTAATATTTAAATATTATTATTTATAAAAATCCATCCAAAATTTATAAATTATCTTTTAAATATTAACTTTTCATTATTTTTCAAAAGTTTATAAGCGATTTGTAAATTAAAAGGGTAAATGAGTAAATTACCTCCTAAACTTTAAGTTCAGTTGCACCATAGACCTTGAACTTATTTATTATGTAAATTATTCTTTCAACTTTTGAAAACAATGTAATCTGGCCCTTATTGCTAACAAAAGTTAATTTTAATCTTTAATTAACTATAGAGTGATAGAAAAGAACTTCAAAAACAAAAATTAAAATAAAAGATCCAAAAATTACAAATAATGACCAAAATTTTTTTGGTCATTTTCTATAATTTTTAGATTTTTTTTGTTATTTTTTGACTAACTAAAGATCAAAGTTAACTTTTGTTAAAGCTATGGAATAGATTATACCATTTTCAAAAGTTGAGGGAATAATTTACATAATAAATGAGTTTAGGGTGTATGATGCTACTATACCTGAAGTTCAAGGGATAATTTGCTCATTATCTATTAAAATAATATGCTAAATTATTAGTCTTCTTCCAAAATATTGCACCACCAAAATTTAATATTTTGATATTTTGTAACTTTATATAAAAAATGGAGGGAATAAACCTTCAAATTAATGGAAAAATTAATATTGTCTCATTGAATTTGTAACTCATTTTTTTAATTTTAAAATATGGAACATATTGCATGATATGAAAGTACTCCTTCCATTTTTTTATTATTAGAGAAACTACCATTTTTTACTTTTTTTTTTACCTAAGTGAAATCACTTATTTCAATAAGCATTTATTACATATTTTTTAAATCACCTCTCATAATTTACATTAACAAGAAATAATTAATACATATTTATATTGATAATATAGAGCATTTTGGTCCAAATTTTTATTTTCAAACATAATTATTATGGTTAACCAATTTTTTTAAACTATGTAAAGTAATTTTTTTCTTTTATATATAGAAATGGAGGGAGTACCAATTAAGAATTCATGTGACTTACTTTGTATTTTAAAAGTTGTTGGGACTTTACTTGAATAAAATGGTTTCTTAAATGTCATTCCTCCTTATGAGTAGGAATTACTCTAGATATATTATAATTAATATATTTTTAATCTAGTTGGAAAGTTAATTGAGTGATACCTCAGTTGTAACCTTCTCTTCATTCATTTATACCCCTCCATTAAATAAATCATGTGTCATCAATATTATATCATATACAATACAATATAAAAATTATACTTCCTCTGTCTCAAGATAATTTGAGATAAGATTATGCATACTAATAAAGTTTAATAATTATACTTTATAAAATTATTTTTTAAAATAAATTTATAAACTTTTAAAAATATCCCTACATACTTAATCATTATGTTATAATATTATTTCAATTTTCTATCCGCTTGAAGAGTAATATTGGAAAAGGAGAATTAATTAAACCTTAGTTTTTTCAAATTGTCTTATTTTTCATATTTTGGGACAATAAAAAACCTCCAAATTTGTTTTACAATTTGGGGTGAAAGGAGTAACAAGTCGTGTTTTTCATCAGTTATAAACATTTTGATTGACTACAAATTCAATTCAATGTACTAAAACACGTATAGTTTATATAAAAAGTGAATTTATACAAAAGAGCTTGATAAATTTAACTATTTACATTCACAAATAGATAAATACATTTAATGTATTTAAAGAAAAATGAGAAATCATAATTAATTTAAAACTGAAATTTTAGTTTCTGTTTTTTTTTTTGCATGAGAAATTTTAGTTTCAAACAAAATGATACTTATGTTTGCTATCACTCTTTCTTCAAGCCTATGAATATAAAGAATACAACTTATTGTACTAAAAAAAAAGGAATACAACTTATTGTACCAAAAAAAATACAACTTAAAAAAATATTAACCCTATTAATATTGGCTTAAGTGTAACTATTAGGAAAATGATAGTTAAAAACATTTTTAGTTGTGGTTGCCTTAGTGAAAAGACTACCTCCCTTCGAGCATAAGTTCTAGAGCTCGAGCCATATATTGTATGCATGCATGAGTTGTAACTTGTAATAGAATTGATTCATTGTAAAAAAAAAATTCTTATCAAATTATTTGTGAGATGATATGTTGTTTTATTTTATAGATTGCTCTTTTTGTTGTGAAAAATAGTTTGGTTCGGTGTTAACTTTATTTGGTGGTTTATACTAGTGTGGAATCTTGGGTTATGCAAGTCAATGGACAACATTGGCATTGGTAAAGAATTACTTAGTACCTACTCTGTATTTGAAATTTCTAAGTCTCATGAATAATGACATGCATCTTCGAATCTCTTCCCTGTATGTAACAAGAAAGGAACATCCATTTTCTTGTTTTTCATGCTCTATTTCCTTCTCTATTTTAATCTCTTTATATTTACCGTTCCTCCAACTTTCAATGCATGTTTCATTTGCCATATTCACTGCTCGCCTTGACGTGTTGGTTTTAAATCTTATTGACTGTTTGGCTTATGTGAATTGATTTCCAAGTTTGTGATAATGAAGTATGAAAATATTTTTTTGTATTTTATATGTCAATTGAGGGGCTTTTGGTTTTTATTTTATGCAGGCATTGATCACAAATTGATGATGACATGAAGAGTCAGGAGCCTAAGGATATAATACACAAGAAAATAGCATGGACTATCGGCAACTTTAGTTCATTAAAGACCAAAACTGAACACGTTTCTGAGGTTTTCATGGCTGCTGGTTGTGCTTGGTATGAATGAAATCTATCATACACACATATTTTTCATCTCTCACTTTTATCAAAATCTCTTACCTCTTATTCTATACATACAATTCCTCCCTTCTATCTTCATATTTTTTCAGTCATCATGTGTGTACAATATATTCACTCGACCGATTAATCTTTTTTAATCACTTAATTTGTTGGCAATTAAGTATGTGGCATTAAAGGTTAATCCAAATTGATAAACTTGTACTTGTCAAATATGTAATGACAATTGTGGCAGGAGACTTTGTATGTACAAAGGAAGATTAGATAGGAAGTCATTGGCTATATTTTTGGAAGTAGCTGATGCTTTGAGTTTACCTCAAGGTTGGAGTATAAATACAGCCTGCACTATCATTGTGGTTAATCAAGTTTACAGTAAAAATTCTAAAAAAGCAGGTATTATTTCATGCTACTTCACATTGTTTATTCTTCTTTCGCTTGGGAGTAGTGTAAATAAATATAGACTATGAATGCTTCATTATTGTAAGTGTACTATAATTTTAAATTGGAATGGGATGAATTATAATCATAATCTTTCATTAATGTTCCTTTAATGCAGACTTAGAACAAAAGTTCTGTTCAGATGTTAATAATTGGGGTTATCCATCTTTTATGGAATTGACTACACTTCAAAACCCATCTAATGGCTATATTTTGAATGATAAATGCATTATTGAAGTTGAGTTTTCTAAAGTAAGCCCCGTAGGCACTCAAGCATTGGTCCCAAAAGATGATGATGTCACTGAGTTCAAAGATTTGGGACTAATACAAAAAGCATTGGTTCCACTACTAGAGGAGGCTTGTTCATGGCATCCTTCATTGATGGACTATAAGCAAAAGGGAAGTCGTAAGTTTACTGAGTGGGCATTTACTGCATTGGGTCGAGTTCTTCAATTCTTGAAGAACAAGAAGTGGAAGGATATGAATGAGAACGCATGTGAAGAGCTTCAATATTTGTTGGAGGAGCTTGAAATGAGTAGATTAGACTTGAAGTGGTTGGAGCCTCTTGTTAAATCTGCTTTAAATATGAAAGGATATGCTGAGAAGGTAGAGACAATGAAAAGGTTGAAGCAAAACCTAGTGGTGTTGGAGATAGAGATGAACAAGACAAAGGAAAAACTAGCTAACAAAGAAGAAAATGTTGAGATGATAAGAAAAGAATTGGTGAATGCAGAAGACAACTTTGAAGAGAAGGATCTAGATGCAAAAATTGGGTATGGGAAATCCTAGTCATTATATATGCGTTGATAATGTAACATATAGAAGTCCTAGATATACATAAGAAGTTCAATTCACTTTGATTCTAATATCATTTCATATTTGATAATATAATGTTACTACATCCTTTATGCTTGCATGGGTCTACCTATAACTTCCCTAATTAAACATTGAAATACCAAAGTATACTTTTTCTTAGAAAAACAAATTTATATAAGCAATACCAATTGTTAACAATCGATCTCTTCTTTTATATATGGCGCTTAATTTTCTAAAAGTCTATTTTGTCTATGACTTTCATACTAGGATGGTATGAAGAAGTCCAGCATTGCCATTTGCCAACCTATTTTAGGCTAGCAATTTCCAATTAATTCCATGTTCATCTTAATCCTATTTATTTAGCGTTGGAGATTCACTGTAGATATACACTAAATTTCATATTTGTTTTTAAAAATTATTTAAAAAAATGTAATTTTTAAAAATATTTTAAAAAATATAAATCATGTTGCCTACAACAAAATTATCAATCACGATACTGGCAAAATATTTTAAAAAATTAATGATTAATGATATATTTTTTAAAATCATATTTTATTATAATATATAATAGGATATTATATGTAATAATCTTAAATTTTAAATTAAGTTAAATTAATTTTTTTCTTCTAATTATAATTTTATTTAAGTTAGTTCTAAATAAGGGTGGTGATTCATAGGAACTTATGTTAGTAACTTTCTTAAAGATCTAAAATTTAAATTTACTAAGTAAAATTTAATTTAATTTAGGAAAAATTAATCTTTTAGTCCTCCAACTTTTAAGTCACTTGTAACTCAGTCCCTCAACTATGACTCGCTGTGACTCAGTCCCTCAACTATAACTCACCTTTGACTTAGTCCCTCAACTTTTGAATCACTTACAAATTAGTCTCTTAACCTTTGTTAATTTTTTTTTCATGTTAGCTTATATCTCACATTAATAAATAAGAAGAGGGTATTTTAAAATAATATATGAATATTTTTTTTATCTCTCTTATTTGATAAAAAAATTTTAAAAAAATTAAAAAAAGGATCGAGTTATAGGTAAATCAAAAGTTGAGGGATTGAATTGCAACGAGTTATAGTTGAGAGATTGAGTCCCAACGAGTCATAGTTGAGAGACTGAGTTACAAGTGAGTTAAAAATTAAGAGACTAAAAAATTAATTTTCTCTTTAATTTAATTATTTATTATTATTTATTATAGGAAGATTGTGTGCCTTTCTTGTAATTTCCTTTGACCTTTCTTGTGATTTTTCCAATTACTTTTTTGGATCAGATTTTATATCTTCACACGAAAGAAAAGCAGAGCATCCCCATCTTTCACTTTACCGCCATTACTTTCCTCTGGTTCTTTATCATCGGTCCTATCCTCTGGCTTTTCTCGCAGCTTTCCTTTGCTTGCTATCAACCTGTGCCTCTTCGCTACTGTTGGATTCTTCGCTACTGTGGTTGGCCGCTGGAAATGGTGAAGACGTTCGTTCTGCTGTCGTTGTTCTCTGCTGTTTCAGCCCATTGGATTGAAACTTCCCTTTTCCTCTTCAGTGTGGTTCGTGAGTTGAAGGGTGTTAGCTCCACTGCACTTTGGTGGAGATTATTGGAGAATAAGTGAAGTAAGTGAAAATTTGAAGGATTAAATTTTTAATTTTTTGAAAACTCTCATGTATGAGTAGGCGGTGTTTTAAATATATTTTTAGTAAAGTATTTATAAAAATTTTTTATTTAAATATTATTATTATTGCTTTATAAATTCTTTACATATTCTTAATCTCATTTTCATATCGATGGTATTATTTTTTATAAGTAATTTAATTATTTATTTATATGTTGATATAAAATTTTTATTGTAATAATTTGTGTATGAAAAAAATGATAATAATTTTGGATAATGAAAAATAATAGTTGAATAATATTTAAAAGTGAGAATTTTAAAATTATTTTTTTCTTTCTCCATACATACTTAATTTTAATGAAGGGGATTGAGTTCAAAACACTGGATGTTAATTGCAGTTTTGTTAGCCCTTGACGTGCCATAGTACACCTGGCTAGTAGAGTGCTTATGGGAGGTGCTAGCCCTATGCGCAAGCCAACGCATGTGGAACGGAAGGATGATTATCCGTAAGCATCGTACTCATGCTTGCGCTTGACTCATGGCTCCAGCCACACTTATTTCGTGACTTTCAGTCGTGCTTGATTAATTACTTACTCTTGTAGACTATGTGTCCATGCTTGGTTTATTACTCTCGTGAACTGTGTGTCTACGTTTGTTATTCATTCTGATAAAGCCCTCCTAAATCTAAACTTAAAATTCATTATTTTTATATTATTTCTTTAAAAGCATTCTATCTAGTCATACTGTTGCTTGAAATTTTTATATTCTATGAACATTATAAATTTTAATAAATTATTTTGTCCTGTTAACATTGTTCAAATTCATGATTGTATCATTGAAAAAAAATTGTTAGTTTAAGTTCATGTTTCATTATTTCAAAACTTTTAAATCAAATTTATTCATTAATGTCTTCATATAATTATATACATATATAGTTGGAACGCTACTTATCAATAATTTCTTTGGTCTCAGATAGTATAGTTGACTCTACGACTTCGGCAGATCATTGAGAGGCCCTTTTGCCTTTTTAAAAAAGCAGAGGCATATTGCGATTATTGTTTTAGTAAAACTATGTATTGTATTTTGTAATCATAACTTAGTACTCCACGTACATCATAGTTAAGTCCTAGTTTTATTTTGTTATTATGGAAGTTGCTGGAATGGAGCTAGTTTCCTTGCTAGTTTGGTTGGCAAGTTCTATTGTTGTTGTGAAAATTTTGAGAGATTCAAATTACAAGAGAGACTTTGTCAAAATTTATACAAAACATTTAAAACTTTACAAACTTTATTATTACATTTAACTTACATATGTTGATATTTTAGTTTAGTTCTTGATCAATCAAGACTTATGGGATATGAGTTCATCTCATATTTCATGCCGATCATACACTTAGTATTGGGGTGTAACGTTATATATGGGATAAAATAAGTATTCTCACTTGTTAATAATATAACTACATTAAATATACGCTAATTAATAATGGATACAATTGAAAAAAAAATAGTTTAAATATTACAAGGGTTCTTATATTTAAGATCAAAAATTATTTTTAAAAGGTGTTTTACAAATGGAACCAAAGTATAAGATAATAAATTTTGGATTTTAAATATAATTTTTAATATCTACATAATAAATTTTAAAATAAAATATTCCATGTAAATTTTTAACATGGACATTGAATTATAAAAATATAAATTATAAGAAAAATTCTTAAGTAAACTCATCTTTTATATAATATTTCTCTTTAACTTTTAAAAACGGTACAATTTGATCCCTACTATTAAAAAAAGTTAATTTTGACTGTTATTTGATAAAAAAAAAAGGACCTCAAGAATCATAAAGAAGTACCAAAAAATTATAATGCAATATGTTGTTATTTATTTTTATTTTCTAATATTATTAAAATGTTATTTTTATTTTTTTTCATTATCTTGAAATTGAATAAAATGTTAAACTCTTGTGTATCGCATGGGGCTAAAATTTAATTATGTTATATCGCTAAACAAAAATAATATATATGTGTGTGCATTGGATTACTTTGGTTCATTGTCTTCTTCATATATATATATATATATGTATGTATGTATGTATGTATGTATGTATATGTATGTATGATAAATGTGAAAGATGAATATGCATGATCCAACCATGAGGGCTTTTATAAATTTTACACCTCCTGAGAATATCCTTTTAGAGATTTTTGTAAAAGCAACTATCAAAGAATAGATGAGATAATTTCCTGTAGCCTGTCTCTCCTTCATAGACCACAAATTGAAAGCATGCGCCTTGTAACATCCTCCATCCCTAAAAAGTCTATTGAAATCATTGTTGAGCTTCAAGATAGGATAAAATATGTTTAAGATAATTTAAGATAGTTTGGATTTAGAGAAAATAGTAACATCTTAAGTTTTAAGACTTAATTAATATTAGAAAGATATTATTTCATGGTAATTTGAATTTACCATGCAATAATTTGAGTAAGTAAAATTTACTCAAAATGAAATAATTTTAGAATTTAGTTTCAACATATTTTAAAAGAAGGAGAAATTTATAAGGCTAAGTGAGATTAAATAAATAAAATCTTAACTATTTTATACTTACCTAAGTATTATTTAAATTAGATTGAAACCAAATACAGCTAATATTTAATTTTTGGCTTTAAAAGAACCTTTATTAATAGTAAATAAATTATACTAAAGAATTTAAAAGTGTCAAAATATGGGGAGAAAATAATAATTCTGACATGTGTGAGCGTGTGTCTGTATGTAATGTGAAAATAAAAAAAGACAAGATAAGATCACAAAAAAAAAACAGAGAGATAAATAAATAAATAAAATAATAGTTAGTATTAAAGAAAAAAAAAAAAAAGTAAACCGGGGGTGGGCACGTGGCCCCACATTGGTTGGATAAAAGGTATTATAAATAAATACCCTTGAATCAAGATCAGCCGCTCCTCAAAATTCTTTTCGCGGCAGTGCAGAGAAATTTCGAGAGGAAGAGAGCGAGGTGCAAAGGCAGGGAAAAAATTTATAGAAGGCAAATTCAGTTATTTTAAGCAGAGGTTGAGACTTTCTATACTTAGGTAAGCATTTTAAAATTTATACTAGACAAAGAAAAGCATAAGATAGTTTAAGAAATTTAATTTTTTAAAAAAATCATAAGTAAGGATAACAATTTTAATTGATTATTTTGCTTCTTATTTCTATTTTTATATTCAACCAATTAAAAAAATTCAAATTTATCATAATCTCTCTTAGCCTTACCACTGCTCCCCTTCATCCCCCTCCAACCAAACATGAATAAAAATTAATTTAAATTAAAGATTGAGTAAAGAGTGTCTTGGATAATTCTACAACAAATAATAGTGTTTTAAGTTGCAAAATATAAATTTACCCTATGTCCCTTTGCATTAGAAGTTATTTTAAAAATAAATTATTTTTTATAATTTGTTACTATTATACATACAAATGCTATGCTTGCCGGGAAGAAAAAGTGAGGGGGAGAAAAAAGTGGGAGGAAAAAGCAGAAAAAAAATAGCATTTTTTTTATTTGGCTAGGGAGAAAAAAGTACGAGAAAAATAACATATGAGATTCATATATTTTTATTTTCAACTTTTCTTTTTAAATATGGAGAGATTTTGGAGAGAAAATTTTATTTTTAAATTTATCAATCAATTTTTTAATTACCGCATCTTGCTTTTCTTTATTTTTATCATGATATTTATAATGTAATTATGAATTTTTATTAAATAAGCAGTATATTTAATTTTTAAATTAATTAAAAAAAAGCTAATTTTAAATTTTCAAGTGAATTTTCAGTTAAGTATCTTATATTTGGTTGTAGTTTTAACTTTTAACATTATTGTATATTTAATAATTTAATAAATAAAATTTTAAATTGGATAAAATTATTTTTAATTATGTTTTTGTTGAGTCAATAATATATGATAAAAATTATTATATATATAATATGTTAAAACATTAAATTTTATTATATAAATATTTTTATAAATAATAAGATTATTATTGTTCGCACAAAATTGATAACTTTTTTTATCTTTTAAGTTTTCTCTCACTCAGCTAAGTACGATGAGAGAAAATTGCATACCTCCCATTTTTTCTTCTCTTCATTTTCTTTCTTCTAATTTTCTCTCCTTCCTATTTTTCTCTGTGAGCCAAGCACAACATAAAAGTATAAAAATTTATTTTGTTCTACAATTTATTATCTTGTTCTTACTAAGAATAAAAACAATAAAATATTTTATTTAAAATTTATTATCATGTGTAAATTAAAATTTAAAGCAATAAAATTTTTATAAGATTGCACACTTATCTTTTTAATAAGATTCGTGTAAAGTAAATTTGTAATCTTATTGCTGGTTTCACACCCACTATTTTTCCAATATCCATCATCTAATTTTTCATTGTTTGTCTTATGCATTTTTTTAATTGTGGACTTCAAATGCAAAAGTAAATAAAAAAAACTGAACTACACTATCTAAATGAGGCAAAAAAATGATGGGGCTAATTTTTTTAAGACTCACATAAAAAAATATATATATATATCGAAGGCACACAAGCAAATTTAAAAAAAGATCCTAGGGACTATAGAGTTGTTGAATAGTGACCCTAGAACTATTTTAGATGACAGAAAATAGTTAAAAAACTATATAATTTTGGATAACTCTAAATACTGTAGAGATTAATTTAGAACTCTCTACAGCAATTTATGAATTAAAAATGAATCTAAAAAATAGATTATAAATTTTAATTATTTATAAAACGTGATTACGAGCACTTTAGAGTTAAAAAGTAATAATCAACATAATTTAAAATTATTTTGAGAAGTCTTTGGGATAAAGCGAGACACTTTAAGATTAAAAAAACTTAAAAAATTAATAGGAATTTTTTAGAGTAATTTTGAAGTTACAAACAACTCCACAGGGACTTTGAGATAGCCTTAGAGTAAAAAAATAAATTAAATTTAATTTTAATTTCCCAATTTTTTTATTTGTAGATGTGCAAGGAGTTTTTTAATTTTAGCTTTGACATTTTACTTAGCCAGAGAACCTTTTGCAAAGAGATTTTGGGTTGCGTGAGTGATTTTGAGACCAGATAATTTTTTTTTTTTTTAAGGTTACCTTGCATGTTAATGTAGGTAAATAACTAAACCTTTAGTATACTAATATCAAATTGAACCTAAATAGTATACTTATAATAATGTTTTGCAAAAAATCAACCTAGTAGCTAACAAAGTAATTTTTTGTGAATTTTCAAAAAAGCTTTGATTAGTGAAAAAAAAAACCCTATAAATTTTTTTAACTGCTCTTTCTGTTTAAAAATGTAAGAAATTTTTAACCGAATCTCACTTCTCTAATAAAGTAGTTATCTACTTTTCATCTAACCCTATCTTTTCATATTTACCCCTATTAAACACCTTAATAAATATAAAGTCATTATCAATAGGGGCACTTTTAAAAAAAGATAGTTATTATACCTTAAAAAACTAAAAATGTCTTATATTTTTAAACATCTAACTTTTTTTAAAAATGCCTTATATTGATAGTGATGTGTGTTTTGAGAGGGATCAGCAAGGGTGGCAGAGGATTTGTGAATGTTCAAATTAGCCTTGACCGTCTATAAGATTGCTACACTTGAATGAATATCTCTTCCCCCTTCATTAGAAAATAACAATTTACCTCTAACACACCATTCATCCAAACAAACATAATTAAAAAGAACATATATCCCATGGTACTTGTTTTGTAAACTCCTATTGAGGGAGAGTCTTTTAAGTTTCAAAATATCCATTCCTTACTATTATGGTTCTTAAATATATTTCAATCTTTTAGCTTAACTAAACTCTTTCATCCATTCTTTGCATGTGGAGAATCTCTCAATATTTGCACCACATCTTTCTTTTTCATACATCCCAAAAGGGTACAGTTGCTCACTTTAAAATCTTCAGTTGGCTCGCTGTTTTTTGCCATTGGCCACAAATGAATTTTAATTTTTTCAGGGCTCGTCGAACACCAAATTTTGTTCGAAGGAAAAAAAGAATCTAAATTGTTTTTGAAATAAAAAATGAAAATAATTTCAGAAAAACTAAA